TCCCAGAGGCGTTTCTGGTCCCCATCTGTCATTTTGCTCCTCAGCATGGCTTCCTAAAAACGCTGCAGGATTTCCCAAACATGCATGAATGAGTCACAGCAAGGCTTTGGGCATGTTTTTTATGAGAGTATAACATTATAACATGATATAAAACTCAAAAAAAGTTGATTTTACATGATATTGCCCCTCTAATTTCAAGGTCATAAGTTCAAAGTTAAAGGTCAAAGGTCACGCCTTTATTTAAGGAGCTCTAATTTGATAACAATTTAACATAGAAATGTTGAACTTCAATGATTGATACTCCTGCTACATTTTTGCTCATAATTTTAGCTACATTATGTTCAAATTTTTGACACATTTTTACCATTTTTCTACTGATTACAGCTTTTGCTTCCCTACATTCAGCAAAAGTGAGTTGTTGTCAAATTTAACTCACGTCACCAGTTTGACTATTAAACCWTTTTTAGCTTTGTCTGCTGAAAAAAAAAAAGTGTTATAGCAATAGGCTTTTCACAGGAAATGCAATTTCTGCTTTTTTAGTAATTAAAATGTTTTCATCTTTCTGCCTGTCSTCCTCGCCCCGGTAAAGATTTGGACTCAGACGCTGGACGGTCCGGTCCTGATGGTGACTCTGAGCCAGGACTCCTGGTGTGGCTCATCACCAGCTTTGTGATCCTCCTCCTGCTCACCGCGGCCGCTCTGTTGGTGCTGTGGAGGCACCACCAGCGCCGCAGCGTACCCGACCAGCAGCAGCAGCAGCAGCAGCAGCAGCAGCCTGCCGCCGTGTCCCTCAACATGTTGGCCGTGCCGAAGCGGGACAGCGTCAGCAGCGACAACGGTTCGGACCGCAGCAGCGCCGCCTTCCCTCTGCGGCCCTCCGACAGCATGATCTGCCGCCACTTGGAGCGCGGGAGCGGCGAGTACGGGCCTCCTGTGTACATCGTTCAGGAGATCATGCCTCAGAGTCCAACCAACATCTACTACAAGGTCTGACGGCTCTGATGGCAGGTACGAGCAGAAAGACACGGAAAATGTTGCGCCCTGTCGGGTTGATGTGTAAAATATAACAGAATGCAATATAAATGTTAAAACTAAAACGTTTTTTTTAATGAGGTCATTTTGAATTTGATAGCAGCAAACACATCACAGGTTTAAAAACCTGCAGAGGTGGGCGTGGTTCTGCTAATCAGCTACTAGCAGAACAAATTTTTCATTTAGAAGACTTGGAAAACTAACAGTGAACCAATTAGCTTCCACTATATTGGGTTTTGCTAACTTTACCTCAGCTAACGCTAACTAACAAGCTAACATCAACAGGTTTGTGTCAGTGTGACGCAGACTGACAGTTGTATTAGCAGTTAGCGATTAGCTGTTAGTTTTGTTTTTTGAGTGAAGCGTCGTTCTGAGAAACAACTGGCATCAAAACATTTGTTTCTTTTATGACGTGTTTATTTTTAACAAAGAAAATTATTATTATTGTTTGTTTTTTTACTGTCGGCACACGCCAGCTCCAGATGTGGAGGCGTGTTTTATTTAATTTAATGAAAAAACGGGGAGAAAACAAGAACATCCATTTCAAGTTTTAATGAGTTTTCATCGGTGTGTTGTGTAACTGTGTTTGAAATGCTGTGAAGTGAAATGAAAGTAACAATTCTGTGGATTTTATTAAAATATATAC